ACTACCATGGGGCCTATGGGTACTGTAACATGTTAACAACGAACTGGCTCAGGGCTGCAGAGCCGTAGAGAGATCTCACCGGATCTTGCCTTGCGTTTCTGAAGGAGAAGGGCATGGTCGACGTTGGGGAGATGATGGGCTTGAAGCAGCCTGGCGTGAAAAGGGTTTATGGTTTAGGATTTAGGGNNTGTGTACGAGGCCTGCTGTAAAAAGGATCTAGGGTTTAGGGTTTTGGGATATTTGCAAGAGGTGCAAGGTTAAAGGATGGAGATGTAAAAGGCTCACCTGCGAGAGTTCTACCATGGAGCATTGTAGAACTTATCAAGCACCACTAGCCACTAGATGCTACACCCTTGATCTGCCTAAAGTACGTGGTTGTCGGGCAATGAAACAGAGAATGTGGTCCTGCTGCAAGAAGATTTGTGACTTAACCTTATGGCCATGCGTAAAACAAACGCTTTTGCAAGGTTATTAGAAGCTGGGATTTGAGATTCTTACTTTCGGCGCGGTAAGATTTAGGATGAACCTTGCGAGTAACTTTGCTTGTTCGCCGCAAGCTGCCTAATACATGAGACGGCGATGGCCAAGAAACAACACTCCTACTTGGAGGTTCATCGGTTTATGTAGGGTCTGAAGTTGGATAACTATAGTTATAACCCATACTGAACTGAGGGACTTGTAGCTCCGATTGTAACCACCCATGAATGCACCTCCAAGCAACCTCTTTGTGCGTGTGGCTCCCTCTCTCTCTCTCTCTGTCAGTGTCGTCTCTCTCTCTCTCTCTCTGTGTCTGTCTCTCTCTCACTCTCTCTCTCTCTCTCTCTCTGTCTGTGTGATTCTCTGTGTGTGGGTGGGTGGGTGTATTTGGAATGCTGATGCCTCCCTGCATGCAGCACTGCAGCAGCTTCTTTCTAGGTCTTTCAGTTCAGTGTTGTCGGAAATTTCAGGGGGGGAGTTGGAGAGAGTCTTGTATGAGGCTAAATGGGCTTTCTGTCGCATACATGTACAGCCTTGACTGCTGTACTGTAATCTTTAGAGTTTTGGAAGGCTTCGAGCGCTAAGGGCTCCGGCTTTACCGGGTTTAGGGATTTGGCGGGCCTCGAGGGCTTAGGGTGAATATGAGCGGGGCATTGGGAGTGGGGACTTACAGCGCCAAACTTTTCGAAACTCGCTGAGCTTCACGGTACAGGGTTTCGGGCTTTATCGGCCTCTGGGTTCAGGGTTGTGCGTTTCTAAAGTGTAAGATTGGTGGGTTGCAGAAGCATAGATACCCAGACCCCCAAAAGGATCTATAAAATAGATCCCCTAACTAGGGACCCTAACTACTAAGGGGTACTTTATAGGAACCCCCTTAGGGGATCTATTTTTTAGATCCTTTTGGGGGTCTGGGTATATGGAGGGGTGGGACGCCCTTCCCAGGAAGGCCGCAGATGCTCTCGGATCCGAGCCTTCGCCTCCAAAAGCCGGGAAAGGCAAGGCAAAAGCTCCGCAGCCTGCCTGGGGCGTTTGAGGGTTTAGGGTGTAGGGCTCTAAGGTTTAGGGTTTTGGGTTTTAGGGTTTACAGTTTCAGAACTTGGGGCATAATGGTCGAGAAACTAATCTAGGAGTTAGGGCGGTGTTGGATAGAAGGTTTAGGGCTGAGGGTTTCGGGTGGACTTCTGGGCGGCCCAGGGATTCTCGAGCTCAATGGTTTTAGGGTCGCGCGCTGAGGGCTTGGGTTTCGGGTGTTTATGGCTGTTGCCGACCGGCTTAGGCTTCTTTCGAACTTTGGTTTCAGGGTTTGGGAAGCAGGAAGATGGATTCTGGCAGCCATCCAGTCCCATTGCAGACAGCTTCGGATTACAGGGCTCAGAATACAAATACGTCCTTGATTTGGGCTTTCGACCTTGGACGTAGCCTAAACCCTAAATCCTAAACCCACGTTTCCTGAGTGTCTTCATCAGAGTATAAACCTGCGATGGCTGGTGATGTAGAGCCGTCAGAGCAGCAAAGGCTCCTTTGCAGTGTGAGTAGCTCTGCTGGTTTAGGACTTCATGCAAGTCGTTCCCTAAGGGTCCATGTACTCAAATAGCATATACATGGGCCCTAAAGTAACTATATAGGGACTACATTAAGGCTAATGTATATACTATATGAGCACATGGACCCTTAGGGGTTTGTAGGTAGCCTTCGGGTCTACCCCGGCTAATCTTCGCCCTGCACAAAATCCTAGTAGTCAGCTGGGGCCCGGCAGCCGCCAGGAACCCCTTTAGGAACTTTACTGTATGAGCCTTGGGTTTAGAGATTCAAGGGCTTAGAGTTTTTCGGGTTTAGGGTCGCAGAGTTGAACCAGGAGCCTGAAACTACAGAGCTACCTGAGCTAGCTTTCAACTAAGGCAGACTGACGAGCTGAGTGCAACAGGCCTCGTGATGAGCTTCCTGAATCAAGGATCCTAGCACAGTACATGGGGTCTCAGGGTTCTTTATTCCATCTTTGTCGTTGCGAAAGGTTAAGGGGTGTCTTCGCAAGGGATCGCAACTGGGTCCATCTAGTAAAGGTACTGCTGCCTACAGCCAGTCGAATGGTCCCCTAAACCCTAAACCCTGCGTCTGTTAACGTTTCTTGAAGACAGTATCGTGGTGGACCTTGCCAGGCTTGTCCGAGTGTGAGTGTCAAAAAACACTGCATTCGCACGATCACACGGTTGCTGGTTGGGGATGCTCAACGGGATTATTTTTAATATATGGGTAATAATACTAAGTATTATTATTAGTGTTAATGTTATTTGTAATATATAGGTAATAATACTAAGTA